TCATAATTTTCTTTCATTATTGTTATATATCATAATTTTCTTTGTTCATTTTATGCCATTTGTATCATCTCTACACCATTTTGTTTCTTATTTTTACAATCGTCAGGTTTAAGTAAAACACTGCATTACCAGTACAACTGGTTTATATTTGCAAAACATACAAAATTACAAAATACAGGTGTAAAAAATACCATAGGAAACATTTTCCCAATTGCAAAACATATCAAAATATATAAACATGTATGAAACATTTTATTGGCTGTTTTTGAATTTGATCTTCCATCCAAATATATAGCAATTTCTCCATTTCGTGGATGGGGCCGCTTCGTTGCTTTGTTATAACCGTTGATCGCATGGGTGCAGAACTTTTCACAGCTTCACCAATTCTTTATCTTTCACAATCGTTGACACAGTTGAGTGTGATAACTTTATATCATGTGCGATCACATTCACTTTCTTTCCTCCTTCGTATTGCTTAATTACCTTCATTTTCGTGTCAGGATCGATGGCCTTTCTTTCCTTCTTGGCAGGCTGAGGCGTAGACAAAGACAATTTCCTCTTGGTAGACATCTTGGGAGGGGTTTGATGAAAAATATCCAAGACACAAAACACAAATTGCTGTATCGAGTCTGGGATAACAGTTGAAATGGTGCACGCGGAGATGGTAGTGCTGCCGGAACTGGTCCGCACTGTCGTACGCCCAGCTGGGCAACGTTTGCGCTGCCAGACGCGAAGCAGTCGTGGCTAGCGATTGTGGTCATAAAGTCGAATAGTCGTAAGTTGCATAGGTCGTAAGTAGATCAATACCTGTAATATGTAAGCTATAATATGTTTAATGGATGCATAATACTACATTCCATGGATTCATATTGTACTGTTTATGTAAGCAGTCTCACTATTGAACATTTAGGATATTTCCATTTTGAATCTCATTTATTTATTTAGAGATAGGGTCTTGCTGTGTTCTCAGGCTGGAGTGCCATGGTGTGATCATAGCACACTGTAGCCTTGCCCTCCTAGGCTCAAGCAAGTCTCCAGCCTTAGCTTCCTTGAGTAGCTGGGAGTACAGGTGCCTGCCACCATGCCCCGCTAAGTTTTCTATTTTTAGTAGAGATGAGATCTTGCTATGTTACCCAAGCTGGTCTCAAACTCCTGGGCTCAAATGCTTCTCCTGCCTTGGCCTCCCAAAGTGCTGGGATTACAAGCATGAGCCAATGTGCCCAGCCTTTGAATCTCCTTTAGATACTTTGAGAAACATCTTGAATGTACATGATGATACAGTCATGATTTTTAAAACTTTATTTCCAAGGATTTATTTTTCTTTTATAATGAAAGAAATTGGGTCTGGTGTTTTCGCTAACGCCTGTCAACTGAGCACTTTGAGAGGCTGAGGCAGATCACTTGAGTCTGGGAGTTGGAGACCAGCCTGGGCAACATGGTGACAAGCTGTCTCTACAGAAAATGAAAAAATTAGCCAATTGTGGTGGCACACACCTGTAATCCCAGCTACTCGGGAGGTTGAGGCAGGAGTATCACCTGAGCCCAGAAGGCAGTGATTGCAGTGAGCTGTGATTTCACCACTGTGCTCCAGCCTGGGTGACAGAGTGAGACCCTGTCTCAAAAAAAGAAAGAAAGAAAGAGAAATAGAGAAAGAAGGAGGGAGGAAGAAAGGAAGAAAAATATTTAAAGTGAAGGAAGGAAGAAAAAAATAGATATTTTTTGAGATGGAGTTTCACTCTTGTTCCTGAGGCTGGAGTGCAATGGTGCGATCTTGGCTCACCACAACCTCTGCCTCCCGGGTTCAAGTGATTCTCCTGCGTCAGCCTCTCGAGTAGCTGGGATTACAGGCATGCGCCACAATGCCCGGCTAATTTTGTATTTTTAGTAGAGACGAGATTTCTCCGTGTTGGCTGGACTCGACCTCCCAACCTCAGGTTATCTGCCCGTCTCGGCCTCCCAAAGTGCTGGGATTACAGATGTGAGCCACTGCATCCAGCCAAAAAAATATTGCAATTAAAGGCGAGATCCCGTTTGTTCTCCCTGTTTCCCTCTGTTATTTTTCCAGAATTCATAGGTAATATATGATGCTGCTTTATTTATTTATTTATTTTTGAGAGAGGGTCTTACTCTGTCACCCAGGCGGGAGTGCAGTGGCCCAGTCACTGCTTCCTAGGCCTGTTGGTCTCAAGCAATCCTCCTACCTCAGCCTCCCTAGTAGCTGGGATTTTTTAATCTTTAATTTTCGTAGAGATGGGTTCTTTTTTCTTTTTCTTTTCCTTTTTTTTTTCTTTTTTTTGAGATGGAGTTTCGCTCTTGTTGCTCAGGCTGGAGTGCAATGGCGTGATCTCGGCTCACTGCAAACTCCGCCTCCTGGGTTCAAGCAATTCTCCTGTCTCAGCCTCCTGAGTAGCTGGGATTACAGGTGCACACCACCATGCCCAGCTGATTTTTTGTATTTTTAGTAGAGACGGGGTTTCACCATGTTGACCAGGATGGTCTCGATCTCTTGACCTCGTGATCCACCCGCCTCGGCCTCCTAAAGTGCTGGGATTACAGGCGTGAGCCACCGCGCCCGGCTTCTTTTTTCTTTTGTTTGAGACATATTCTCCCTCTGTCACCCAGGCTGGAGTACAGTGGTGGGATCTTGGCTCACTGCAACCTCTGCCTCCTCGGAACGTTCAAGTGATTCTCCTGTTTCCGGCTCCTGAGTAGCTGGGATTACAGGTGCCCACAACCACACCTGGCTAATTTTTTTTGTATTTTTAGTAAAGACGGGGTTTCACCCTGTTGGCCAGGCTGGTTTCAAACTCCTGACCTCAAGTGATTCACCTCCCTCAGCCTCTCAAAGTGTTAAGATTACAGGCGTGAGCCTCGGTGCCTGGCGAGGTGAGTTCTTGGTGTGTTGCCCAGGCTGATGTCTAACTCCTCGGCTTACTGAAGCACTGCGATTGCAGATGTGAGCCAGGAGACTCACACCTCCTGCATCCATTAAACATATTATAGCTTATTTGTTAATTGGGACATGTGCATGATATTCTGCTTATTTGGACATTTAAAAAAGTTACATAGGTGGACCTCCTCTGTCCACTTTGGAGCCCCCCTCCCTCTGTCTCTGTCCGGGGGAGCCTCTTCCTTCTGCCTTCTTCCTTCTGTCTAGCCTATTAAACTCTCCCCTCCTTAAAACCACACACACACCCACCCCCGCCCCCCCCCCCACACACACACACTCTTACTTACATGCTGTTGTTCCAGGAACACTGGAGACAGTTATGCCAGGTACAACTGAGGGACTGTGTTAAAGAAAAACTTCTCTTCCCGGCCCATGAGGGGCTTAGTTTCAAAGGCAGGAGTTTCCCGGTTCCACGCCTCCATCCTGGACGTAAAGTTCTTTGTCTGGGTTTCGCTCAGGCTAGGTAGAGAAATGCAGGCGAGACTCCTTTGACTCAAACAAACGAAACCAAACCAAAACAAAACAAGGGCCGGGCGCAGTGGCTCATGCCTATAATCCCAGCACTTTGGGAGGCCGAGGTGGGCCTGAGGTCAGGAGTTTGAGACCAGCCTGGTCAACATGGTGAAGCCCCGTCTCTACTAAGAATACAGAATATTAGCACAGACGTGGTGGCACATGCCTGTAATCCTAGCTACTCAGGAGGCTGAGGCAGGAGAATCACTTGAACCTGGGGGCGGAGTTAGCAACGAGCTGGGATTGCACCACTGCGCTCCAGCCCGAGCAACAGAGTGAGACTCTGCCTCAAAAAAGAAAAAGAAAAAGAAAGAAAATAAAACATTAGCTGGGTGTGGTGGTGTGAGCCTGTAGTCCCAGCTACACGGGAGACGGAGGCATGAGAACAGCTCGAACCAGAAGGTGGAGGTTGCAGTGAGCTGAGATTGCACCACCGCATTCCAGCCTGGGTGACACAGTGAGACTCTATCTCAAAAATAAATAAATAAAAATAGCAACATAGTATATTTTTAAATCTTTCTTATTCTGCTTCACCCCTTCTCTGCCAGTGAAAATTTTCTGTGCTCTTCTGCAGAGAATGACCGTTACTGATGCACTCCAAGTCTTGATTGAAAGTTGTACCTTTCTGGATGTGACCTCACTACCCTAGGTCATCTAAGCAAAAATATTTTCTGAACAATTTTTTGTGAACGCATGCAGGCTGAAGATTTTATTAGTCTGCAAAAGGTTTTGATAGTGGAGAGAGTGTTTCTCTTGGTTTTCCCTTATCATCATGTGAGTTTAATAGTCCACATCTCAAATTGTTGTATTAAACAAATGCGCAATCCATGGGACCTTTCTAGGAAAAATGGCGAGCATCGTTACCAAGCCCTCTTTGGGACCTACGTTCATTCTTGGAAGAGTTCTTCACGTTTCCAGTGCTCTTTGGTTTTAAAGGCAAGCCTCCAAGCCTTCCTTTCCCCTTCTGGATGCTGTGGTGGTTGCCATGCATGGCGTCCTCAGCCACTGTCTAGGAGGCTGCTTTTCTAGAGCCGGCTTGATGGTAGAGATGAGCTCTGTTTTCACGATGATGACATGGGTGGTGTCTCCTCACAAGCGTCTCTTAAGGAGTCTCAGCCTGTGGGCCTGCCGGAGTGCTTGAGCTGCTCAGCCGGCCCTTCTCTAATCTCGACAGCCTGCCTCTCACTCGGGGACTTCCATCTGTTACGTTTCCACGTTTGTGTCTTTATCCACCTCATTCACTTTCCTCTTAGTCTTTCTGCCCTCATGAACAGTCTTTGCAGTTTTCTGGTTTCCACACTGTTTGTGGGAATGCCCCCTGGCCTTGCCGCTTCCCTCTCATAGAGGCTTCGTGTCCCTCGTCAGGCTGTGGTGTGTTGTGATTTAGGCAGCCATCTTGTGAGCATATTAGGAAATATCCATATACTCAGGGCAAATTAGAACCACTTGATTCTGTTTCCTCTTCAGCACAGATTGTGTGTGTGTGTGTGTGTGTGTGTGTGTGTGTGTGATCAGGGACTGACACTTGTATTTTCTTTTGGTGATAGGGGATGAAATGAGAACTGAGAAGGAAGGATTAAGTCCAAAGGAGCATGTGTCCAAAGAAACAGAGTCCTTCAGACTGACGGTGGGGGGCTGCCAGGGACTGTTTCCCAGCACTTTAATTTTGGGAGCGGCCTAGAGCAGCCCCGAGGTCATTGGATAATTAAGACAAAGTCAAAGAGCAGACATTTGACAGATACCTCAGCCAGGTACCATGAGGCCTCTGTGGTCAAGAATGGAGAGAAGTTTGAGAGATTAGGAAAAAATATCAGTGTCAGCACACAACTAACTACGAAGAAGACAGTTCCTAGTGGTCAGATAGCTTATGAATGTGGGAAATGTGGCAGATATTTCATTCGAACGGCAGACTTCCACCGACATCAGAAATGTCACATTGGTGAAAGGTCTTTTGAATGCAAAGAATGTGGAAAAGACTTAGATATAATTTGTTACTTATTCGGCATCAGATAATTCACACTGGCAAGAAACCATTTAAATGTAAAGAATGTGCAAAAGGTTTAAGTTCACACACAGCGTTGACTCAGCGTCAGAGAATCCACACTGGAGAAAAGCCCTGTGAACGTAAGGAGTGCGGCAAGGCCTTCAGTAGCAGCTCGGTCTTCCTCCAGCACCAGAGGTTTCACACTGGGGAGAAGCTCTATGAATGTAATGAATGTTGGAAAACTTTCAGTTGCAGCTCGAGTTTCACCGTCCATCAGCGAATGCACACTGGGGAGAAACCGTATGAATGTATACAGTGTGGAGAACGATTAAGCTCACACACAGCCTTGACTCAGCATCAGCGAATTCACACTGGGGAGAAGCCCTTTGAATGTAGAGTGTGGGAAGGCATTCAATCAGAAAATAGCCCTGGTTCGGCACCAGCCAGTTCACACTGGTGAGAAACCTTATGAGTGTAAAGTGTGTGGTAAAACCTTCAGCTGGTGTGGAAGATTCATTCTGCATCAGAAACTACACACTCAGAAGACACCTATCCAAGCATAGGGCTATCCATAGTTAGGCACACTGTGTCTCTCCTTTTTTCTGTTTATTATTTTTTTTGAGACAGAGTCTTGCTCTTTCGCCAGGCTGGAGTGCTGTGGCGCAATCTTGGCTCACTGCAACCTCCGTCTCCCAGGTTCAAGTGATTGCCCTTCCTCAGCCTCCTGAGTAGCTGGGACTGCAGGCTCGCATCACCATGCCTGGCTAATTTTTTGTTATTTTAGTAGAGATCAGGTTTCACCATGTTGGCCAGGATGGTCTTGATCTGACCTTGTGATCTGCCCACCTTGGCCTCCCAAAGTGCTTGGATTACAGTCATGAGCCACCGCGCCCGGCTGTTTTCTCTTCAGTTTCATGCTCTTTACCAGTGTCCCCACTGCCCTTCCTGGGTAGACATGTGGCTTCCATCATGAAATCCTCCTCAAGTTTTTTGAACCCGTTTCCCCAACATGAAGTCTCTTTATGATTAAAGAAGACAAAACAAACAAACAAACAAACAAGCAAAAAACCCAAACTTAGAAACATAAAAGGAAATGTAAGTTTCCAGATTTAAAGGATATGCTGGGTGGCCAGCAAGATGAGTTCAGGGGAATCTTACATTAAGGAAAGTTGCTGTGAATTATGAAAACACCAAGTTTGAAAAAGAGGATCATGGAGAAAAAAAATGAGACCCTAAAGTTTCTAGAGAAGGAAGACAGAAGATCAGAAATGAAAATGGCATCAGATTTCTCAACAGCAACCTTGAAAGTCAGATGACAGACAATGTGTATGCCTTCAGACTTCTGATGGAAAATATTTTCCCCTGCAATTCTATACTCTGAAGTATAAGTGTAGAGTGAAGGCATCTGATACCCTTTAGATCTGAAACCTTTATCTCCCATGCATCCTTTCTCATATGTGCAACAGTACACAAGGAGTAAACCAGTCAATAAAAAGAGATATGTGGATACCCTATTGCAGTCCATATATCAGAAGTCTCCTAAATTCAAAAACAGAGGGGTCTGTCCATGTGGAGCCATATGCATCATGGAAGACATTCCTAGTAGTGTGCAAAGTTCCAGAGACCTACCTCAGGTGCGGCGTCCACCCACCCGACTTACTCTTCAATTTCTCTTCTCTAGTCAGGTGTAGTCTGCGCCTTTGAAAAAGTCAGGATGTATGTACTCTTTGAGTCAGGTGTAAGGCACCATTTGTCTTAAGTTGACTCTTCTCATTGCTCTTTCAAGTGACCTCAAAGCAGGAAGCATTTTCTTGCAACTTCATCTAGTTATCTTTTAAGATCATGGAACAACCTATCATTATTGCTGTTATCTGTGGAAATGAGAGAATATGTAAATGTATTAGGTTTTGGCATCCCCTCCAGCTGCCAGCTAACTGTGCACTAGTTTCCTTATCTGTAATAGGAAGATGACAATTAATCTACCTCAGAGGTTTGTATTGAGGATTAAATGCATTAATACATGTAGAAGTGCTTCAAACAGTAACTATATATAATAAAAGTATTACCTATTATTGGCTGGGCATGGTGGCTCACGCTTGTAATTCCAGCACTTTGGGAGGCTGAGGTAGGTGGGTCATGAGGTCAGTAGATCAAGACTATGCTGGCTAATACGGTGAAACCCCATCTATAATGAAAATACAAAAAATTAGCTGGGTGTGGTGGTGTGCACCGCACCTGTAGTCCCATACTCGGGAGGCTGAGGCAGGAGAATCGCTTGAACCCAGGAGGAGGAGGTTGCAGTGAGCTGAGATCGCACCAGTGCGCTCTAGCCTAGGCGACAAAGTGAGACTCCATCTCAAAAGAAGAGAGAAAAAAGTATTACCTATTATAATCCTATTGATAAGTTTTGGCTTATCAATATACCAGTGAAACAGTTACCACAGTGAAGATGATAAACAGCCACCACCCCAAAACTTTGATTGTGCCCCTCCATAATCCCTTCCTCTTGGCCCTTCTCAGGCAACCACTGGTTGCTTTCTGTCACATGGATTAATTTTCATTTATTTTTTGGTCTGGTGTCTTTCACTCAGCATAATTACTTTGAGATGCACACATGTTGTTGCATATATATAGTTCATTCCTTTTTATTGCTGAGTAGTATTCCACTGTATGGATATGCCATAATTTGTTTATTCATTGACCTGTTGAAGGCCATTTGGGTTGTTTCCAGTTTTGGCCTATTACAAATAAAGCTGCTATGAACATTTGTGTTCATGTCTTTGTAAGAATACATGCTTTCATTTGTCTTGATACCAGGAGTGCAATGGAGAGGTCATTCAGTAGATTAGCATATATTAAATGTGTACACTTTTATCACATATCTATTTTTTAGAGGTGAGGTGGTTCTTGCTTTGTTGCCCAGACTGGCTTCAAACCCCTGGGCTCAGGGTTTCCTGCCTCAGTCCTCCTGGCCTACTCTAAGTAGCTGGGACTACAGGTGTGCACCACGATGCCCTATTTTACTTTTTGAGAATCTTCAAAGCTGTTTTACGAAAGAGGTTGTGCCATTGTACATTTCCACTTGCATTGTATGAGAATTGTACTTCCAAAACATCAGTGCCTACACTTGATGTCAGTTTTCAATGTTTTAGCTATTCTAATTGTTAAATGCTATCCCACTGTGGTTTTAATTTGCATTTCTCTAATGAATACTGTGCTTATTTGTGTTCCTGTTGTTCAGGCTGGAGTGCAGTGGCACCGACTTGGCTTACTGCAGTCTCTGCCTTTCAGGTTCAAGTGATTCTCCCACCTCAGCCTCCTGAGCGGCTGGGATTACAGGCGTGCGTCGTGACAGTGTCTTTTAAAGAGCAGAAGACATTAGTAGGCATGAAATCCAATTTATCAATTGATTTTATTTATTTTTAAATAGAGATGGCGGTCTCACTATGTTGCACATGTTGGCTTCCAACTCCTGGGCTCAAGCGAACCTCCTGCCTTGACCTCCCAAAGTGCTGGAATTACAGGCGTGAGCCACCGTGCGTAGCCTGCTTTTTTAATGGATCAGGGTTTCGGTGTCAAATCTAAGACATTTTACTTTACCGAGATTTGCAACGTTTTTTTCTTGTTTTCCTTTTAGAAGTTTTATAGTTTTTGTTTGTTTGTTTTTAACAGACTCTCACTCTGTTGCCCAGGCTTGAGTGCCGTGTGCAATACAGTGCGACTCTGGAGGTTGCTCAGTGCAACCTCTACCTCTCAGGTTCAAGTGATTCTCCTGCCTCAGCCTCCTGAGTAGCTGGGATGGCAGGCGCATGTCACCACACCTGGCTAATTTTTGTATTTTTAGCAGAGTTGGGGTTTCGCCATGTTGGCCAGGCTGGTCTCGAACGCCTGACCTCAAGTGATCCGCCTGCCTTGCCTCCCAAAGTGTTGGGATTACAGGCGTGAGCCCCCGCGTCTGGCCAGAAGTTTTAGTTTTAGGTTTTACATTTAATTCTGTCATCTGTTGAGTTAATCTTTGTCTGAGACATGGATCTAAATTTTTTTTCTTCATATAAGTGTCCTATTGTAGCACCGTTTTTTCTTTTTTAAGAGATGGGGCTCACTATGTTTCTGAAGTGCAGTGCTATTCACAGGCATGATTACAGTGTACTGTACCCTTGAATTCCTGGTCTCAAATGATCCTCCTTCCTTAGCCTCCTGAGTAGCTGGGACTACAAGTCTGTGCCACTGATGCCTGGCCCGGAACGCCATTTTTTGAAAAAGCTATTCCACCAAATTGCCTTTGTACCACTGTTGTGACTCAGATGTCCATAGATGTGGGTCTATTTCTAGATTCTCCTCTGTTCCATTGATCTGTATGTCTGTCTTGATGCCATTAAGGCAGTGCCTTAATTACCGTAGTTATGTAATAAGGGTTGAAGTCATATAGTGTTCGCTCTCCAACTTTGTTCTTTGTCAAAGTGTTTTGGCCATTAGAGATCTTTTGCATTTCCATATGAACTTTAGAATCAGTTTTTCCATTTCTACAAAACACCTCACGGGAGATTTTTTTTTTTTTTTTTTGGAGTCTCACTCTGTCGCCAGGTTGGAGTGCAGTGGCACCATCTCAGCTCAGTACAACCTCTGCCTCCTGGGTCCAGCGATTTTCCTGCCTCAGCCTCTGAAGTAGCTGGAACTACAGGTACATGCCACCACACCCGGCTAATTTTTGTATGTTTAGTAGAGACGGGGTTTCACCATGTTGGCCAGGATGGCCTCAAATCTCTTGACCTCATAATCCGCCTACCTTGGCCTCCCAAAGTGCTGGATTACAGTTGTGAGCCACTGTGCCCAGCACCTCCTGGGAGTTTGATTGGGCTTGCATGAATATAAAGACTAATTTGTGGAGCATCGGCAACTATAGTCTTTTGACCCATGGACACGGTAGATGTCCCCACTTATTTAGATACTTATTAGTTTCTCTCAGCAATGTTTTGTAATTTTTCCTGTACAGATCCTTCATACTTTTCCTCAGATGCATCTAAAAATTTCCTATTTTTGATGCCATAAGTACTTAAAAATTTATGATACTTGTAGTAATAAATGGCAAATGTCCAGTTCTTTGCTGACATATGAAAATATATTTGGTGGCGCGGCGCGGCGGCTCACACCTGTAATCCCAGCACTTTGGGAGGCCGAGGCGGCTGGATCACGAGGTCAGGTGTTCGAGACTAGCCTGACCAACATGGTGAAACCCCATCTCTACTGAAAGTACAAAAATTAGACCATAAGGGATTGTCCAGATCTTTATTTGTGGAGATAGGAGACATACACATCTCAGCCAGTGTTAACAGTTAAGTAATTTAAGTGCCAATTACCGAGCAGAAAAATAGCTCTAACTACGAATTGTTGTGATTGGAAAAAGCTCAATAGAAGACATTCAGGGTGTCCTGCCAAAGTCCACACAGGACAAGATCCTCCAACACGGGGCATGTCCTGTACACAGAGGATGCCGCAGCCGCCGGCGTTCTGGTTGCTGAATCCATTTGTCCTAAAAGGCTCCACACACAGCTGGGTCCTTGGAAGGGAGAGGGCTGAAAGGGCGAGTGGAAACCACGTTTCCCGGGGACGGCCCGCGGAGGTCCGCGGCAGGATCCCGGGCTTGGGCCTCCTGGAGATGACGCGGCCGGCGCCGCTCTCGTCACCCCCACCGCCCAGGCTTCAGGTCAGCCACGGGGCGAAGGCGGCCCAAGCCGAGGCTCAGCCCGGGAGCTGGGGCCCCACTCGTGCGGAGATGCCGAGGTCTGGGCAGAGCCAGGCGGCGTCGGTCGGTGACACGCCCGGACGGCCGGGCTAGAGCGGCGCGGAACGCTCAGCCCGGCGGAACGCTCGGCCCCGCAACCCGGTCTCTTCCGCAGGGCGGGGCCCGCCGTGAGCGGCGGGAAGGGCCGGCCGCGGGGCGACCGAGACGACGGCCTCCGGGGGCCTAGAGCGGCCCGGGGGCGCGCGCTCGCGTTCGCGCTTCCGGTCCGGCCTTTCGTTAGCCGCCAGCTCCGGTGTTCGGCAGAGCGAGGGTTTCAGCCGGTTCCACGTGCCAGGTCCGCCCGGCGCCGGCTTCCTCGCCGCCCCCCTTGCCCCGAACGTGGCCTCAATGGCGGCCCGCCCCTCCTTCACCCGGACCGTGGGCTGCTGGGCCTCGCCGAAGCCGCCCAGGTGGCTGCGCGTGCTTCCGGAGCCCGGGTCCAGCCCTTTGCCACCGAGGCCTGAGCCTCTTTTCTGCCCTAAAGAACCTGTCCCGACAGCCTCTCGCTCCCGGTACTGACGTTTCTGATGTTTGGGGTCGCCTGCTTTCTTGGGGGGAGTGTTAGGATCCCGTGGGGTGGGGTCTCCGGTCGGCAGCACCTACTGGGACGCTGAGTACTTTACCCTTAATCCGCATTGAGCCACCCCAGGCCCTCCTCGGAGGTTCGTGTGGGGCAGGGGCCGCGTCATCGTCCGTGTGAGCGTTCCGAGAAGACGCTTGACGTTTGTAGGGGCCCGACACCGTCGGCACAGGGCTCTTCTTGGGGCCTCAGTCTGCCCGTGCGAATGGGCTCCGAAAGCTCCTCGGACGGCGCGGGCGGGCGGAAGGTTGCCCCGAAGACCAGGCAGAACGATTCCTAGGAAGGTGGGGGCTCTCGGCGTGAGAACAAGTAGAGGGAGCCCTGGTGCGATCTCCGTGCACCCAGTGCTGTGGAGTGGAAGCTGGGAGGGCCATAGGTTGTGCTGTAGGCGCCGCACAGGACCTTAGCACTCACGGCTCTTTTTGTCTTAGGTCCTAAGGATCTTGCTTGTCCAAACCCAGAAGACAGTGCACGAAGCCAGGGGACATCCGCCATGCTTCAAACAACTTGGCCTCAGGTGAGCTGAGCTCCTTTCAGTCTTTTTGTTTTTTTAAACTCACATTAGCTATCAGATAATCAGGAAAGGATGAGGAAGGCCTCACTTGGCTAGGCTATGTCATCCTCTTTGTACCCATCCCTAGTGCTACGGCAGATGTAAATACGTGCTGGGGGAATTAAAGTTTTGTGTATAGAGAGTGGTGAGTTTGGATGTATAGATTGAAATGGAAGAAAGGGGACCCATGCCAAGAAATTCTTTCTGAATGTGGAAGTCCAGATGATGTTCTGGAAACGAGAGTCACCTGCTGAAATCGGAAATTTTTTTTTTTTTTTGAGAGAGAGCATCTTGCTCTGTTGCCCAGGCTGGGGTGCAGTGGCATTATGATCTTGGTTCACTGCAGCCTCTGCCTCCCGGGTTGAAGTGATTCTCATGCCTCAGCCTCCTGAGTAGCTGAGTAGGTGTGTGCTGCCACGCACGGCTAATTTTTGTATTTTTTAGAGACAGGGTTTACACCATGTTGGCCAGGCTGGTCTCAAACTCCTGAGTTAAGGTAATCCACTTACTTCATCCTCCGAAAATGCTGGGATTACAGGCATGAGCCTCTGCTCCAGGCCTGAAATAAGAAATTGTTTATTGGAGAGGTTGCTCCAGAAATGTTATGTATCCCAGAGAGACTAGTATTGTTATTTTAATCTACATTTTCTAAATGCTGATGCGAGGACTCTGAAGTTGGAGAGAAAGCTGGATGCACTCTACTAACAGGAAGGGGTCAGAGAAAGTGGCGCAATATGAGATGGAAGAAGTAGATAACGGTATTATAGGTCACGGTGAGGACAGTGGTTTCTGTTCTGCTTCACTGGGAAGGCCCTGAAGAATTTTAAGCAGGGGGATGACGTGGTTGGATTTCTATGTTAAAAAGATTTTTTCAAGCCTTTAGTGGCAAATTGGCTGTAGCAAGGTGTGGGTCAATTAAGAGGATACTGCAGTCAGGTAAGATATTAAGTGTTGTCTATTTTAAAATTTATTTATACTTTTTATTTTCTAGAGCAGTTTTAGGTTCACAGCAAAATTTAAAGGAAGGTACAGAGATTTTCCATGTATTCCCTGCCCGTACACATGCAAATTGAAATTCTGATAGAAGTTCAAATACAAGCCTGGTATCAGCACAGTACAATGTTAGTGTCTTTAAAAGATCAGAAATGCTTTTTTTTTTTTCTTTCCTTATTCTCTGATGTGCCCTAAGTAGCCTCTGAGGTTTCATTGAGAAATAACTTACCCCTGAAACAATTTAACACTGGTACTTACAACAGTTCATTTTTTAGAGCAGTTTTAGATGCTAACAAAATCGGGCAGAAAGTAGAGTTCCTGCGTATCTTCTGCCACCTCAAAACGCACAACCTCCTTCATTATTAACACTCTACACCAGAGAAACACGTTTGTTACAGGGGATGAACCTACACTGACACATTATTGTCATCCAAAGTCAATAGTTGACATTAGGGTTCACTCTTGATGGATGCCATGTATCCACCATTATATTATTATGCAGAATAGCTTCACTGCCCTACAAATCTCTTATGCTCCTCTTATCCATCCTTACTTTGCCCTTGGTCCCATCCCAGGTGAATAACCATCAGTTGATGTTTGCACTCTCTCCACAGTTTTGCCATTTCCAGAATGTCGTACAGCTGGAATTACACAGTTATGTAGCATTTTCAGATTGGCGTCTTTCACTTAGTGGTAATGCATTTTGTTTCCTCTATGTCATGGTTTGACAGATCATTTTGTTTTAGTGCTAAATAACATTCCATTGTCTATATATACTATAGTTTATCCATTCACCTACTGAAGGATATCTTGGTTGCTTCCACGTTTTGGCAATAATGAATAAAACCCCTATAAGTGTCCATGTACAGGTTTTTGGGTGGACATAAGTTTTCAGCTCCTTTAGTTAAGTACCGAGGAGTCATGACTGCTGAATTGTATGGTAAGAGTATGTTTAGTTTGTAAGAAATTGACAAACTGTCTTCCAAAGTGGCTGTCCCATTTTGCTTTCATTCGTTCCCACCAGCAATGAATGAGAGTTCCTATTTGTTTCACATCCTGGCCAGTGTTTTGGATTTTGGCCTTTCTAATAGTTGTGTAGTGGTGTCTCATTGTTTTTATTCCCTAATGACGTATAATCTTGAGCATCATTTCCTATGCCTATTTGCTATCTGTATATTTGCTTTGTTGAGGTGTCTGTTGAGGTCTTTTGCCTATTTTTTAATCGGCTTGTTCATAAAGGGTTCTTTGTATATTTCAGATAATAGTGCTTTATCAGATATGTCTCCTGCAAATCCTTTCTCCCAGACTTTAGTGTGTCCTCTCATTTTCTTAATGTATTATCCTTTTAAAATAGAGCTTAATTTCCCCCTCATTTTTTTGTTTCAATTTTTTTCCCCAAAACTTTGTTAGCTGGTTTTTCACACACGCTTTTTTAGATGGCTTTAAATGATCTCCCACTCCTACACAAATTTCATGAATTTTTTGGTAGGAGAGTGGATTTTATTGAATTCATGGGTAAATTTGGAGATAACTGACTTTGTTAGAAGTTGGATTCTTCCCGTTCAGAAGCACTATATGCTCGGATTGATTCAGTTCTTTTTAAATGTATCTTAGTGAACATTGAGTGTTCTTCCATCGTGTTCTCACTGATTTCTCTTAGGTCCATTGTTAGCAATTTTTTTGTGTGAATGGCATCCTAGTTTCTTTCAGTGTATTTTCCAGCTGTTTACGATGGTACTTAGGAAAGCGAATAATTCTGGTTTCCTTATTCTGTATCTAGATAACTTAGTGAATTGTTTTATCAGCTCTAAATGTTTTCAGTTTATTTTCATGGTTCTTAGATGTCTTTAGGCAGGTGGTTATTTCATCTGCAAGCAGAGATATTTATGTTCATTTCCTTCCTATATTGATGCTCCTTTTCTCATCTTTTGTGAAAGTAGAACCTCACCTCGTGGCAAATTGTCAGCTGTCAAGTTTAATGGATTTGGTCTGGCGTTTTACTGTTAAGGTGGTGTTTGCTGTCGGTTTCTTACTCTTTTCATAAGTAAAAAAAAAAATGGCATTTATGGTTAAACCATGTTTGAAATCAGTTCTTTAAGGAAATGTATCTGAAGCATCTAGCACATATCAGACACTGTACTGTGAGCAAACAGTTGTTGCCTCCTGGAGTTACACTCTGGTGGGGGGAGATAGATAGTAAACCACATCATGTGACATGATGAATAACACTGTAGAGAAAAAGAAAACAAGGTGAGGTACGTAGGGACCAGGGACAGGAGGAACAAAAAGATATCAAAACCCAGCTGCCTTAAAACAAGGTTTTTTCTTTAATATTAGGCACTTTGTAGGGCTCATGAAACTTGAGGAGAGTAGACGGCAGGCGAGACAGACAATTTATGGAAGAAGAGCTGATGGATGTAGGCCGGGAGAGGAAAGTTATGAGAGAAGCTCTGGAGATGTCAGGGGGTGAGGCTTGACTTGCTCTAAGTGGAGGCGCAGTTTGGTTTTCCCTGTGCGCCTGTGGTTCCTGTCCTCAGAAGCCCTTAATGCCTTGGCAAAGCAGTCATTATACATAGGACACCATGATCCAGCCTGCTGTCTGGATTTTTGGCTTACATTATTTTGGGGGCCCTTTGGACCTCATCATTGCCCAGATTAAAGGCTGGCTCTCCCTTTGAGGCGTGTGTAAATTTGTTTTATTTTTTCCTTTCAGTGTCTCCTTTAGAGCTGAGTTCTCTAACCGCTCTTGTTTGAAAAGGCTCCTCTCATAAGGACCTGCGTATAGAGCCAGTAGAGCTGCTGTGAGCAGTCTGAGTTGCCAGAATTGATCCCTGCTGTACAGTGCTTCCCTCCTTCGTTCAAGAGCTGTTAGCGTCATGTTCCCTTGTCCGCTTTCCCCTGTGGCCACGCCGGTGCATAGGCTGCTTCAGGGCTACCAGGAGTCAGAATGTAGAATGTGACGTTCAAGAGTTAGGAGCTTGGCTGTGCCCCTGTGGTAGGTATTTTCATTTTCAGCATCTGCAAAGAACAAATCTGAGTGCACGGGGTAATGAGACTCTCCTGGGAGGTGGAGTCATCAGTGGGAGCGTCAAGGTGAGAAGGCATGCAGGTCATGAAACCGCCTCCAAGCTGAGAGCCTGGTCTTTGTAGTCTGCCCTGTGCTGACTCTAGAAGCAGAGAAAGGCTGGGTGCAGTGGCTCAACGCCTGTAATCCCAGCACTTTGGGATCCACTTTTGGGTGGATCACCTGAGGTCGGGAGATCGAGACCAGCCTGGCCAACATGGTGAAACCCCGTCTCTACGAAAAATACCAAAACTAGCCTGGCGTGGTGGTGTGTGCCCGTTACCCAGCTTGAACTTGGGAGGCAGAGGTTGCAGTGAGCCAAGATTGTACCACTGCACTCCAGGCTGCCTGGGTGACAGAGCAAGACTCCGTCTCGGAAAAATAAAAAAATAAAATAACCAACCTGAAAGCCTGGTGCATAGGGCTAATCGACAAGCATAGCTGTCTTCATTCTTGGGAAGATGGACATGGCCCAGGGGAGGGAGTCCGAGAGAGGAACGCCTAGTGAAGAGACAGCCGTGATAGATGGGCTGGAGCTCAGAAAACTGGGGGACAGGTCTGTGCCCAGGAACTTGGCACTGCCAGCCTGTCTTTGAAGACTGATGGTTCAGAGAAGAGGGTCAAAACAGGATGGCTAAAGGTTTCTTTCAAGAGAGCCAGCTTTCCGATAGGCAGAAAGGTGGAAAAGAGAAATTTGTATATTTCGGACACGCTTCTTTGCACATAGTGGACAATGTTGGGGAGAACCAAAGGGATGCCAGGTCCAGGGAGCAGCTGGGGCCGTGCGTGTGCGCTTCGGATGCGTGGAAACAGGGTGGATTAGTCGATTTTCATGCTGCTGATGAAGACATAACCAAGGCTCAGAAGAAAAAGAGGTTTAATTGTACTTATAGTTTCACATGGCTGTGGAGGCCTCAGAATCATGCCTGGAGGCCACAGGCCCTTCTCACATGGTGGCCCCAAGGGAAAAATGAAAGAGCTCATGCCGGGGAACTCTCTTTTTAAAGCCATCAGATCTCATGAGACTTATTCACTATCAAGAAAACAGCACGGGAAAGACTTGCCCCCGTGATCCAGTGACCTCCCACCAGGTGCCTTCCACAACAGGTGGGAATTGTAGATGAGATTTGGGCGGGGACACAGCCAAACCATATCACAGGGTGAGTCGCGGCTGTCGGTAGTGGTTGGGGTATAGAAAATAAGGAGACAGCAGTACGGAGTCCATGAGGGTAGGCGGTGCCAGGGGACAGATCTGTGAAGCCAGGAACCTGGGAGCTGATGCAGTTGCCAGGGAGAAAGCACCTGGATGCCAGGCTATTAGAAGCAGTAGCAGTTAGGGACTCCAGAGCCGGGCAAATGGGAGAGCGCTGAGGCTCCCCGTGTGCAAGTGGAACTGCCGGCTGAGGGCTCGCCCTGTCTGTGTGCTGGCTGCTCTTGTTTGAGAGGCTTCACCTCTGGGGCTGCTCAGTGGGGCCGAGTTCCATGTGGACTCAGGCAGGTTTATGTCTCCTGAAGCTCAGGCTGCTCCCTTCTCCCTTCTGCTTCTCACACAGAGACTGAGCAGGAACCTGTGGTTTCAGGAGTCGGTGGCCTTTGAGGATGTGGCTGTGTACTTCACCCAGAACCAATGGGGCAGCCTCGACCCTGCGCAGAGGGCCCTGTACAGCGAGGTGATGCTGGAGAATTATGCAAACGTGGCTTCCCTGGGTAAGGCCTCCCTCTGTGGCCGGCTGTAACAGTTTGCTATCTTCCTCAGATGTTTTGGGGATTCTGGTAGCCCTAGGGTTTGATGACTTCAGAGGAGAGTTTGCAGTCACCAGCCTCCAGAAATACTGGGTGGGGAAATTCTTGCTTCTCCTTTTTGTTTTCTTTTTTTTGAGACAAGTCTAGCTCTGTCACCTTGGCTGGAGGGCAGTGGCGCAGCCGTGGCTCACTGCAGCCTCAAACTCCTGGCGCTCAATCAGTTCTCCTGCCTCAGCCTCTCAAGTAGCTGGGACTATAGGTGTGTGCCAGTATGCCTGGCTTCTCTTTGGTTTTGAAACTAGACTTCCTTATTTTCCACGGAACAGTGTGGTTCTGGGCCCTGAGGGAAAGTGTTCTTTTTTTTTTTTTTCTGAGATGGAGTTTCGCTCTTGTTTCCCAGGCTGGAGTGCAATGAAAGGCGTGATCTTGGCTCACTGCAACCTCCTTCTCAGGGGTTCGGGCGCTACTCCTGCCTCAGCCTCACGTGTAGCTGGGATTACAGGCATGTGCCACCACGCCTGGCTAATTTTGTGTATTTTTAATAGAGATGAGCTTTCTCCATGTTGGTCAGGCTGGTCTCGAATCCCAACCTCAGGTGATCCGCCTGCCCTGGCCTGCGAAAGTGCTGGCATTACAGGTGTGAGGCACTGCACCTGGTCGGGAAAGCATTCTCTCGGGCACCCTAGGTAAGCCCTTTGTTCCTTCATCCATCCCATTTTCTGGCGATGTTGGCCCTTCGTTTGTGGAAGAGTCTCCCAAGGGAGCAGCACGTGCATCGTTCCTGACGGAGCTTCCCTTCTTCTGAGTCAGGGCCAGCTTGCAGCTTCTTTGGGAGGAGAGTCATACCTCCTCGGCTTAATCATGGAGCACAGTTTGGACCTCCCTGTGAAACTCTCACTTGGTCTGCTGGTGTTCCATTTCTCTCCCAGGTAGCCCGACGGAGGGTGGGCTGAGAGAGATCCCAGGAACAGCTCTGGACGTCTCCCCTCAATTTGTCTTTCTCTTTTTCTTCATGAAGTAGCGTTTCCATTCCCCAAACCTGCTCTGATCTCCCACCTGGAGAAAGGGGAAGCGCCGTGGGGACCAGATCCCTGGGATGCCGAGATTCCGAGTGGCATCAATCAGGGTGAGTGTGAGAATCCCGGGCTTCAGTTTCTTGTTTGGCCTCCCTGCTTTACTAGGAGAAGTGTTGTGTATGCCGCCGGGAACAGGGCTCCCAGTCATTTACGAGTCGATGCTCACCGCACTCTGACCTTACGCTCAGTTCTGACCCTGAGCTTCGAAAGACCACCTCTGGGAGTCCATGGCCTCATGTCATCTGCACATTCATGTGACTGTCCCCCCTAGGCAGAAAAACTGACCCCGCAGCACCTAAACCACTTCTTTCTTCCTTACCAGTGGAAAAGTTCTAAGTGTATGCCACTTTTCATTGCAAAGAAGTGGGGTTTCAGGCAGCTTTAAGGAAAATATGATTTTGGGGGCCAAACTGATTTATTTGTGCTATAGGTGTGAATTTTACTTTAGGCCTTGAGCCCTGAAAAGAATGGCTTTAATTAGCCTTTTTAGTATCTAAATCACTTAAGAGTTTCATTTGCTATAATCCTTATATTATCTACATTATATTTACCATAGGTAGGACTCTAGAGGAAAGAGCTAGGAATATTCTCCCATCATAGCCCCCTGCGCGCGCGCGCGCACACACACGCACACACGGAAAGGACTAGGAGTATTCTCCCATCATAGCCCCCTATACACACACATACACACACACAGATGGGTAACCAGCACTGGAAGGTTTTGGTTACCTGTGTCTCCTTTTTCTTCAGAAGAGAGTTTTCAAGCCTTGTCACACATACATGCTTTTGTATTCAGTGGTTCCTTTAGCAGTGGTACCACCGTGGCTTACAGCTCTGATCCAACTTCTGTTACAACTGACTTTCTGAAAGTCATCATCTTTTTTTTGTTGGTTTTTTGAGACGGAGTTTCGCTTTTGTCACCCAGGCTGTAGTGCAGTGTTGTGATCTCGGCTCACCACAACCTCTGCCTCTGGGTTCAAGCGATCTCGTGTCAGCCTCCCAAGTAGCTGGGATTACAGGCATGCACCACCATGCCCAACTAATTTTTTTTTTGTATTTTTAGTAGAGATGGGGTTTCACCATGTTGCTCAGGCTGGTCTTGACCTCCCGACCTCAGGTGATTCACCTGCCGCAGCCTCCCAAAGTGTTGGGATTACAGGTGTGAGCCACTGCGCCCAGCAGTAATCATCTTCTATCTTATAATATTGTGTGGGACATTTAAATGTAGGCTAATTTTTTTTTGTACTTTTAGTAGAGACGGGGTTTCACCATGTGGCTCAGGCTGGTCTTGAACTCCCGACCTCAGGTTATTTGCCTGCCGCGGCCTCCCAAAGTGTTGGGATTACAGGCGTGAGCCTCTGCGCCCAGCAGTAATCATCTTCTATCTCAGAATATTGTGTGGGATATTTAAATGTAGGCTAATGAGAACATCGTTTAGAATCTGACGTGATTTCCTGGGTTACAGGTAGGGGATTGGGATCCATTTTTTCCTGGTTTGTGTTTCTTTACAAGGCCTCTTGTAGTGCTGGAGCTGCTTCTCTGTTTTCCCCAGTCCCTAATTCCTTTTTCCTCTTCTATGTTTCTATCATTAAAAAATTTTCCCATTTCTTGCTGTTCTTTCTTATTCTCTTCTTTTTTTTCCCGTCATGCCTCTTTCCTTCGCATTCTTGATTCTCCTTCCCATTTCACTTAGCTTACTTCATTTTCCAGCCTTTCTCATACGGAGCACTTCCTGGCTGTCTTTCCTGTTCTGTTTTGTGTCTTTCCCTCTCCAATTGTATGTCATTTTTTTTTTTTTTTTTTTTTTTTTTTTTTTTTTTTTTTTTTTTTTGTGACAGGGTCTGGCTCTACTGTCCAGGCTGGAGTGCAGTGGCATGATATGCACTCACTGCAACCTCGGTCTCCTGGGCTCAAGTGATCCTCCCACCTCAGCCTCCCAAGTAGTTAGGACCACAGGTGTGCACCATCACGCTCAGCTACGTTTTTTATTTTTTGTAGAGACAGTGTTTCACCACGTTGCCCAGGCTGGTCTCAAACTCCTGAGCTCACCTGCCAACCTCCGCCTCCCAAAGTGCTATCATTACAGGTGTGAGCCACCACACCTGGCATGCCGTTCTTTTTCTTTGTCTGTCTCATCCTCCTTTAAAGATGCTTCTGTATAAGCATGTCACATGTATATCTTTAACGATTGCATTCTACAAGAGAAAATTAGGACCACTGGATTTTACTTTTCTTCCAGTTTTGTAACTAGGGACATTTGTGGTTTCTTTGGTCAGGTGGTGAGTCCTGGATCAAAAATGAAGGTCCAGTTATAAAGCAGGAAGCCTCTGAAGAAACGGAGTTGCACAGAATGCCAGTAGGAGGACCTCTCAGGAACGTTTCTCAGCACTTTGATTTTAAAAGTAAGGCAATGAAGCAGACTTTCAGTCTAAATCCAAATCTGATACTTCGAGGTGGAATGAAGTTCTATGAATGTAAAGAGTGTGGGAAAATCTTCCGATACAACTCAAAGCTTATTCGGCATCAGATGAGCCATACTGGGGAAAAGCCCTTTAAGTGTAAGGAATGTGGCAAAACTTTCAAGTCCAGCTACCACTGTATTGTACATGAGAAAAACCACATTGGAGAAGGGCCCTATGAATGTAAGGAGTGCGGCAAAGGTTTGAGTTCCAGCACAGCCTTGACTCAGCATCAGAGGATCCACACTGGAGAGAAACCCTATGAATGTAAAGTGTGTGGAAAGGCCTTCCGCAGGAGCGCGGCGTACCTTCAGCATCAGAGATTACACACAGGCGAGAAACTCTATAAATGTAAGGAATGCTGGAAAGCTTTTGGTTGCAGGTCACTTTTTATTGTCCATCAGAGAATTCATACTGGGGAGAAACCTTACCAATGTAAGCAGTGTGGCAAAGCCTTCACTCAGAAAAAAGCCTCCATTCAGCATCAGAGAGTTCACACTGGGGAGAAGCCTTATGAATGTAAGGTGTGTGGGAAAGCCTTTAAATGGTATGGGAGTTTTGTTCAGCATCAGAAATTGCACCCTGCGGAGAAGAAGCCGGTAAGGGTTCTCAGGCCATCCCTGGTCGGGCCCCAGTGCTCCTCTTCAGCCTTATCTCCTGCTCTTCTCCAGGGATCCCATGCCGCTCCAGCCGTGGCTGTGCCTTCACTGACCTTCCCACATGCTGTGCTCCTTCCTCCCTCTGGGAATTTGTTCATGCTGCTGCCTACATCTGGAATACCTTCTTCATCTGCCCAAATAGTGCGTGTCTTCCCGGGTCTCACTCCCACTGTGAAACCTCCCCCAGTCATTCTCACACCTTCTTCTCATTCCTTAAGAGCTTTACCTTGGCATCTTTATGGCTCTTATGCCTAGCAAATCTCCAACCTAATTTTATTTTATTTTTGAGACAGGGTCTCGCTCCGTCTCCCAGGCTGGAGTGGGGGTGGGATATTGGCTCACGGCAACCTTGTCCTCCTGGGTTCGAGCGAGTCTCCTGCCTCAGACTCGCGAGTAGCTGGGATTGCAGGCATGCATCACCATGCCTGGCTAATTTTTGTATTTTTAGAATACACGGGGTTTCACTGTGTTGGCCAGGCTGGACTCAAACACCTGACCTCAAGTGATCTGCCTGCCTTGGCCTCCCAAAGTGTTGGGATTACAGGAGTGAGTCACCGTGCCCAGCCTCCAACCTAATTTGAATTGCATTTGTATTTTTTACCTCGCCTTACATGTGTTACAGTTGTTTCAACGTGAACTCCATTATAATCTATATATAGTTAAAGACCGTGTTTATATAATCTCTTCTGGATGGAAAATGGAAATACTTAACCTTTGCGTTGGTCCCCATAGGCTTGAACAGCAGTGGCTGCATCTGCATCGTGGGGTTACTGGTGGTAGAACACTTTGGTGTTACGGAAGTTTGGAAGGGAGGGTATCCCTGTATTCGGCCATTATGATTAGAGATAAGCAACCTGGGAGAAACAGGAGGGGCGTACAAGACCTGTGGCTACTAACGGAGAATTGGAATAAGCTTCCAGCAGTGGACCTTAGAGATTGATGGAGACTGTTTAGTGGGCCCGTGGCTCACTGGGGTGTTGACACAGCTGAAGTTATTATGCTGCACTTGGCCCAGACCTTGGAAGATCTCATACATCTATGCAAACGATAATGTGAAGTAAACAGTGAAGAAAGAGTGATAGCAATCTTGTCTTTAAACATGAGGCATTTTTTTCTTTAGTTTTGCTCTTGATAGCCAGATGTTTCTTCTAACCTTTATTTCCTAAGTAAATATACACAAATGCATTCATCTTTATTGCGTCTGTTGTGGTTTTTCTTGATGAGCATTTTGGTTTTTTTTTTATTGGCAAGCACTGGCTTCTATATTTCATATTTATGAATTGTAAATATGAATTTGATGAACTACTAAAGAAATAAAAGTAATGGTATAAAGCCAACTCAAGGGGAATCTGAATCAGCCTTTGAAATGGTTTTTAGAAGCAAAGGGAGCTGTGTAGCGGGTTAGTGGCTGGGCTTACGTGGTAGTTTATGACGTGGAATTCGGGGCTGCCCTTGGATTTGGCCTTGTTAAGGATCCTTTACAACTGTTGAGAGGACTGTGTGACATAGTTACTGGAAAAAGAACTTGAATTATGCATTTTATTGGCAATAATGTAAACGTTAAGTCCTACACATTAATGGAAGGGGCCGTACATTTTTTTTTTCTTTTGTGCTGCTGTTGCTATCTAGATGTTTCTCTATAGCAATTAATAGCAAAACCTTTACAATCTTGGTTTTTAAACATTACCATGTGCCTGAATTTCATGGTGTGCTTGTAAAAGGAAGAGTTTTCTGTCTTGCGGAAATTCTGATTTTGGATATCTGTGGATGTCTGTAAAGACCAGATCTTTAGTGTGCACCAAACTTTGAGAGAGATCCTTCAAACAGAAAATACCCATCCCTCCTTTTTCACCCAGCTTAAACTCCATAGTCAGTTCTTAAATATAGTCTCCCTTAACTCCCTGCGGTCTTTTGCTTTGTCATGCTCGCTTGGCAAAACCTCATCTCAGACTAAATGCAATTCTCTGCCTTCTCTGTTCCTGGACCTGTGCTACCAAAAACGATCAGGAGAAAGCACACTACCATGCGGCATTGCCGCTTAAATTCATGACCAGTCATTTCATGGAGGCCCTTACTGTTTCCTGATGGTCATACATTTTTGCAATCCACTTTACTCCCCTGCTTTCCTAGGCCACTACTTTATAATTCCTCTCTGTCTCTTTTTGAGATGGAATTTTGCACTTGTTGCCCAGGCTTTGTGCAATGATGCAATCTCGGCTCACTGCAACCTCCGACTTCCTGTTTCAAGTGATTCAACTGCCTCAGCCTCCTGAGTAGCTGGGATTACAGGCACGTGCCATGACATCCAGCTAATTTTTGTAGTTTTTAGTAGAGACGGGGTTTCTCCATGTTGGTCAGGCTAGTCTCCTACTCCCAACCTCAGGTGATACACCCACCTTGGCCCCCCAAAGTGCTGGGATTATAGGCGTTAGCCACCGAGCCCAGCCACTTGCTGTCTCCGTAACTTCCAAAACATCCTTCTCAGTTCTCATGCTCAGCTGATGGTTATGTTTCTGCCCTCCGCGGGAGAACAGCAAGCTCCGGAAGGTGTCTGCGCCTTTAGCCCTGTGCCAGAATGAGAACATAGGGAGCCAACTTGAGTCCAGAAGAGCTGTGGCCACATCGTCTCGCCCATGTGCTTTTCAGCTTGCAATATCTGACTCTTCACCACCGTATTCTCAGACACTTCCACTAAACAGTTCCACTGTTTTAAGGTCCTGTCACACTCAGTAACCCACTTCTGGTCCCTAATTCCATGTCAGTGATCAGTAACAGACTGCAGAATCCACCTTAGATTAATCCGCCTATTAAATAGCTTACAAAATGTCTAAGAGGAACTAAGCTGGGATGCCACATAGGCAGAAGCCAGGAAAAATGACCACGGAACCAAGTGGTTCCAGTGGAAACCGAGCATCTGCTGGTGCCTGCTACTGAACTGCCACCCCCAGTGAAGAGAGAGACTGGACCACCAGGAAGGTCGTTTCACATTCTATAGCAAAAATATTCCTGCAATCATTTTGGTAGGATCTTCTGTTTTCAGCTAGGGTGTTACCTACTCAGTGGGAGTTGGTTATATATGTATGTCCAAGTTGCAGAGGATTCTGGGAAATACAGTTTTTGGATTGTGCCTGGGAGGAGAGTCCTAATATGGAGAAGTCTAAAAATGGGGAATGGATTTTCAAAATATGTTGGGCAACTGTGAAATATCAGATACCCATTATAGGCATTGAGGGAGACCTGAATGATGGAAGGATGCACTATATTCATGGTAGGAAAGATTAGTTTCACCAAGATTTCCATTTTTATCAAATGAATTTGGAAATTAAAACAATATCAAAATTCCGGAGGGGTGTGTGTGTAGAGAGGCAGAGGGCACAGTAGCTAACCCAATTTGGAAGAACAAGGTGCGGAGTTTGATGCTACCAGATATTGTATACGGCGATCCTCAAAAACAGAACAAAGCAAAAAGCAAACTCCCCAAACACACCCAAAATGAAAGAAAAAAAACAAAAAAACACCTTACACTGTAATAGTAGTATTAGATATTTTTTGAGATGGAGTCTTGCTCTGTCACCCAGGCAGGAGTGCAGTGGCGTGATCTTGGCTCACTGCAACCTCCTCCTCCTGGGTTCAAGTGATTCTCACCTCAGCCTCCTGAGTAGCTGGGATTACAGGTGAGTGCCATCACGCCCAGCTAATTGTTGTATTTTTAGTAGAGACGGGGTTTTGCCATGTTGGCCAGGCTAGTCATGAGCTCCTGGCCTCAAGTGATCTGGCAGCCTCAGCCTCCCAAAGTACGGGGATTATGGGTGTGAGCCACTGCACCTGGCTTTAACATGATTTGTTGAAATTTACAAAAGTCTAAAATAATGTACTGTCTAGGAATATATTCATTTTATACAAAATTATAGAGAAAGCATAGAGAGGCACAGCTGAGAACATATAAAAGGTGTTTCTGTCCCCATCCTGTCTCCTTTATTCTGCTACTGCTCTCATTCCATCTCATCCCAGGGGTCCAGGCCCACATGCTGCCCGCCAGTTGTCCAACACCCTCCACCCTTGCCACCTGTTTCTTGGTCTAAAACAGATGTTTGTTTCTAAAATAGAATGAATGAATGATTATCAAAGTACAGGCATACCTCATCTTATTGCACTTTGTTTTATTGTGCTTTGAGATAGTATATTTCCAGGCTGCAGTGAGCTATGATTGTGCCACTGCGCTCTAGCCTGTGTGACAGAACGAAACTGAGGAAGTGCAGCAGCGTTATTACTGTTACGGAGGAAGTTTGAGTGGTCTGGATAGCAGATCAGACCAGCCACAAATTCCCTTAAGCCAAAGTCTAATCCAGAGCAAGGCCGTAACTTCCACTGTATGAAGGTTGAGGGAAGTGAGGAAGCTGCAGAAAAGTTTGAAGCTTTTCAAACTTGAGGTTGGTTCATGAGGCTTAAGAAGTTATCATACAAGTGCAAGGTGAGGCAGCAAGTGCTGGTGTAGACGCTGTAGCGATTTATCCAGGTCTAGCTAAGTTAATTGATGAAGTGGCTACACTAAACGAGATTTTCAGCGTAGACAAAGCAGCCTTCTTTTGGAAGAAGAAACCGTCTAGGGCTTCCATAGAGGAGAAGTTAATGCCTGGCTTAAATGCGTCAAAAGACAGCTCAAGTCTCTTGTTAGGGGTTTGTGCAGCTGGTAACTTTAGACTAAAGCCAATGCTCGTTTGCCGTTCAGAAAATCCTAGGACCCTTAAGAGAAAAGCTAAATTGATGTGGCTGTGCTCGGGCAATGGAAGATGAAAGCCTGGATGACAGCACATCTGTTTATAGCATGGTTTACTATCTTAAGCCCACTGTTGAGACCTATTAAATATTAGGGGAAAAAATTTCTGCCAGGTGCAGTGGCTCCCGCCTGTAATCCCAGCGCTTTGAGGGGCCAAGGCAGGTGAATCACTTGACGTGAGGAGTTCAGGACCAGCCTGAGCAACATGGCAAATCCTGTCTCTACTAAAAATACAAAAATTGGCCAGGCATAGTGGTGTGCTCCTGTAATCCCAGTTACATGGGAGGCTAAGAAAGGAGAATAACTTGAACCTAGGAGGCAGAGATTGCAGTGAACTGTGGTTGCACCACTGTACTTCAGCCTGAGAGACAGAGTGAGGCTGCCTCAAAAAAAAAAAAAAAAACTTTCTTTCAAAATATTACTGCTCATTGATAATGCATCTGGTCACCCAAGAGTTCTGATGGATATGTACAAAGAGATTAATGTTTTTGTGTCTGCTAAACAATATCCAGTCTACAGGATCCATTACTCATGGTTCAAGGAGTCATTTTGACTTTCAAGTCTGATTTCAAGAATACATTTTGTAGGGCTGCAGCTGCCATAGTGATTCCTCTGTATAAAGTAACTTGAAAACCTTCTGGAAAGGATTCATCATTCTAGATGCCATTAAGGACATTTGTGATTCATGGGAGAAGGTCAAAATATCAACATTAACAGGAGTTTGGAAGACATTGACCGCAACCCTGATGGATGACTTTAAGGAGTTCAAGACTTCAGTGGAGCAAGTAACTGCAGATACGGTAGAAATAGGAAGAGAACTAGAATGAGAAGTGGAATCTGAGTATGTGACTGAATTGCTGCAATGTCATAAAAGTTGAACAAATGCGGAGTTGCTTCTAACGGAAGAGCCAAGAGAGCGGTTTTTTGAGATGGAGCCTACTCCTGGTGAAGGTACTGTGTCCCCTGTTGAAATGACAACAGAGGATGTAGAATGTTACATAAACTTAGTCGATAAAACAGCAGCAGAGTTTGAGAGGACTGACCCCAATTCTGAAGAAAGTTCTACTGTGTGTAAAATGCTATCCCAGCATCACATGCTACAGATAAATCTTTGGTGAAAGGAAAAGTCAGTTGACGTGGCAACCTTCATTGTCTCATTTTAAGAAACCTCTGGAGCCACACCAACATTCAGCAACCACCACACCAGTCATTCAGCAGCCATCAATCGTGAGGCGAGACCCTCTTCCAGCAACAAAGACTCACTGAGGACTTAGATTATTGTTAGCATCTTTTAGCAATAAAACATTTTTAAATATGTACGTTGTTAGGCATAATGCTATTGCATACTTTAATAGACTATAGCTAGATTAAACATAACTTTTATATGCACTGGGAAATAAAAAAATAATTTTGTAACTCCTTTTATTGTGTTAAACATTTTATTACAGTTGTCCGGAAGCAAACCTGCAGTGTCTCCAAGGTATGCCTGTACTTTGCAAAATGTGGTCTTTTAACATTGCTGTGATATATTTCAGTCATAATATTTCATGGCTGTCCAGAAAGAAGTTACATAG